TTTTTCCATAAAATGTCTCCAAAAACCACCCTGCGTCCCATGAATTGAAGGTCAGTGACATGAGCTATAAGTTTGGGGTGTGGGGTGGGCTGTAGCTCTCCCAGTTATATCCGATGCTGAGCCATTGAAACTAAAACAAGCCCATTATTTTGCATCTTATAAGCCGTGAAATATGGTATTTCTATCATTCAAGACTCGCTACACTATAATATTTGTTTAGCAGTAATATGGTCTGTATTCCTGACCTTCTCTTTTGAATTGCCACTAAGTACTACACTGTTAACACAATATTAATCTGTTACCTTATCAGGGACATAGCTGTTCAGAAAAATAATGTAATTTCACAACCGTTACAATTTTCAACTAACACATAATTTGGAAAAGGAAACTTAGACAGTGTTTCAGTCTGTCCTGGATCATTATCAAGCCAGAGTGAGTGTATGATGCTTCAGGATGAACTGAAGTGTTGCCTGCTTTACAGTTTCAGTTTGTGGGTTACTTGTGATGATGAGTATTATATGTAGATAGTGCGGTTGCACTAGGCCTTGTCAAACACCGGCAACCACTCACACTTGCAAGGAATAAATAAAATGTGTAAACATTATTTAAATTTGTATATAAGCAGTAAGAGATTATTGGATTAGTAAAGTGCATACATTGTGTTTAGGTAGTAATTACATCCTGAGTTTTCACATAACCACTCATTGCTGCATGGGAACCATTACAACATATCTGCTACCGGACGTTGCAGTTATAAGCATAAACACATGATAGAGAGATTAATAATTGTTGAGTGCTTGAAGGTGAGGTGCATAGCTATGTATTGAATATGAGAGTAAGCTTAAAAGGGGTGAGATAATGTGTGTTTTTGAGTGATGTCAGTGTTGGATTAATGTGAATGATGATTAGATGTAATTAGTGTTACTAATGACAGCAGTGGGCTAGTGTGAATGTCCATGATAGTATGAATGAGGTCATTAAAAGAGTAGTGTGAATGAGGTCAGTAATACCATCATTATTGATAAAGTAAATATAAAACTCTTAAAAATGTTTTTAATTAGCATTGATCAAAGCCCTTAATTGTCAAAAGATTGATGTTTTTAACAGTACAGTATCTTTTCAGTTTTAGAAGTGTTTTACCAATGTAAAATTTTAAGTGCAATGAAAGTGATATTTATTCAGAGAGTTTTATTTTGACTTCTTACATTAAATTTAAATTAAATAATGACAGTGAGAATGACCTGATTGAAGTGATTAAGGCCGCGCCCGTCCCTCACAGGTGGAGTATGCTGGCTCGGGAGTCAGTGTGAGAGGATTCTTCAACAAGAGGCATCAGTGCCCCTACTGTTCCTACGCTACTGCTCAAAAAGGACACTTAACAGAACATGTTCGAACCCACACTGGAGAGAAGCCATATTCATGCTCGCATTGTCATTTAAAATTTTCTCAGAAGATGAATCTTAAGAGACACATTCGTATTCACACTGGAGAGAGACCATATAGGTGCTTTCATTGTTCCTATACTTCTTCTCAAGGAACCTCACTTAAGAAACATATTTTTAAATACCATAGGTCTTCAGATCTATTACATCCTGCATCTGACTGATTTTTTTTATGATGACAGTAAAGTACACAAACATTCCAAATCATCACTGGAGGAAATAATTTACTTATAATGTGATAAGTCCAGGACAGATGGCAGAAAATCCTCCTTCCCTCACAAAGTGATAAACTTATGGAATGTATGATTCACCAGAGCTGTCAAACCCAAGACACAACTGCAATTCAAAATTCACCTGGAAAACCTCAGGAAAAGTTGGGGAGGAAGGTAATATACATAAGCCACAAACTTCTTGTTTTGCCTCAATTACAATAAAGATGGTGGTACACAGGGGAAATCATTAATTAGCACAGTACAAGTTTCCCTAGTTCTACACAGCTTCAACTTGTGCCAATTCGCTTACATACAGTAACTCCATTTATACCAGTAATTCACTATATGCCATATAAGTTTGCTCTTATGCCCAGCACCACTTGAATTTTTAACAATATCTGTTTCAATATCATTCTAATTTACTGTAGTTTATATTGACATTCATAAGAAAGGAAGATTAGAAAACAGATTTGGGTGTGGGAAAACCACTAAGCAGATCTTGAACAAAATCTAGTGGTCCATTTTCAATTTAACCCTTTGACTGTCGCAAGCCCCTTTCGGAAAGTGTCATTCTATGTCGAAAAATTTTTGGAAAAAAAAAAAAAAATTTTTTTGTGAAATGATAGAGAATTTTTCCCGGTGGTAATGACACCAAAAGCACAAAATTTGGTTGAAAACTCGCGGAATTACATTCCCGTGAAGTTAGCGGTCTCGGCGACATATACGCATTGGCGATTTTGCCAACTTTGAGCCCTATTTTTGGCCAATTCCATTGTTCCAGTTGACCAAACTCATAGCTATTTCTTTGGAACTCCATTTTTTCTATGAATGGAGTACAAGAAACCGCCCATTTACCAAGAGTAAACAAATGACGTCACCGTCCAATACCTGTCCACCTGCCAGTCCAATACGTAGTCAAGAATGGCTTGACATTATTTATACAATTATTACAATAGTGCAACAGTCTGCATAACAGTAAATCTTCTATTTTTTTTGTGAATAAAACTTCCAAGTGAAAAGCAAGAGTAATATAAGAGGGGCCTGTAGTCGTGACTAATGAACAGATAAAATGTTATTTTAGTGCCAGGAATGTCTGCATTGTTTATTCTGGACCCTATTTTGAAATTGGTATCTGTTGAAATTTGTGTGAAATTGGCCAAATTGCCAATTTCTGACCACTTTATTTGGTAGTTGAAATAAGTGAATGGGTGGTTTCTTGTACTCAGTTGACAGACTAGAAGTAAATAAGTTTATTCAGGTATACACAAATACAGTTATATAGATTATCATACATAGCAGTGTATGTATAGAGAACCTAGGATAACCCAGAAAAGTCAGACAAAGTGACTTATTTCCAGTACCTGGCTTGGGCTTGCCATATATGATTTTTGGTAAATATTTTTTTTCTCGGTTGTTTGTTGGGCTATCTCATTGAAACTTGGGCAATGTATGATGGAAAGATGCTTCTTAACGTACAATAAAAATAAAAAAGATGAATGATAAATAAGGGAGTTAACTTCTCAGCCATTAGCCGCCTCTTTGCAGTATATTTTCGTATGGTTTTTATGGTTGTATTCTCAATTTTTTGGACTCATTTGATAGAATGGAAGATATATTACAGAAATAGGCATGATTTTGATGGCTTTCATGATGAAAAGTACCTTGAAATTGAGCTCAAAGTAGCAGAAATGTTCAATTTTTGCCGATGTTCAGTGAACTGTGCAAGTCAAGTTGGTTAATTTTATTAAGTGTATTCTTACCTAACCACTCTGTAATTCGGCAAACTCAGTAATCTGGCACACTACAAGTCCCAAGTGATGCCGGATTTGTGATGGAGGACCTGTATTATTTTTTTTTAATGGTAACGTAAGTCAAGATATGTGGAATTTGCAGTGTCTCAAAATGAATTCCTACAATTTACATTTGTTGTGTTCTCTTTATGCACCATATGAGCCAAGAACACATTTGTCATATATAGTGAGGGAGACCTGTATTTCTTTAGATTTAACAAGGCTACACACACTCAATTGGTGCAAATAATAAAAAGGCAGTCACATCAAGTGTGACTTTGTAAATGGTCCAAGTCAAACCAAAATGTCATCATAAGCTTCTCTCTTCTATGTGCAGGTTATTTATTTAATTGGTGTGGATGTTTGCATATGTGCACGAGTGTGCATCGTGTATGTGTGTGGTGTGCACATGTGTGGGTGTGGTGTGTGCATGCATGGGTGTGGTGTGCACATGCGTGGGTGTGGTGTGTGCATGCCTGGGTGTGGTGTGCACATATGTGGGTGTGGTGTGTGCATGCATAGGTGTGATGCACATGGTGTGTATGCTTTGTGTGCATGTATGTGTATGTGCATGTGTGTATGCATGCATGCTCATGCATGTGAACATTCATATATATACAGTAGACCATTGATTAACCCTTTGAGGGTCCAGACCCCCAATCTGAAAATTCTCCACAGGGTCCAAGAATTTAAAAAAAAAAAATTATTATTTTTTCTTATGAAATGGTAGAAAATCTTTTTCTGAAGGTAATAAAACAAAAAGTAAGAAATTTGATAAAAAATTGACGAAATTATGCTCTCGTGAATTTTGCTGTGTCACCGATTTTTACGCATCACCGATTTTGCCAACTTGAGTCCTATTTTCAGCCAATGACATTGCTCCATTAGACCAAATTCTTAGCTATTTCAGTAGCGCATGTTCCATTTTATCTATTGAGCACAAGAAATCACTTGATTAACTATTTCAGCTACCCAATAAAGTGATCAGAAGTTGATAATTTGGCCAATTTCACACAAAGTTCAAAATATTTTGGTTTGAAAATAGGGTCCAGAATAAACAATGTAGACATTTCTGGCACTAAAATAACATTTCCTCTGTTTATTAGCTATATTTCCGGGCTTTACAGAATTTCATTTTGATTTTTTTACATAAAGAATTTTTATTCACACCAAAAAATAGAAGATTTACTGTTATGTAATATTGTAGTACATAATTGTATAAATAATATCAGTGCATTTGTGAATGCATATTAGACCCACCAACTGATGTGTATTGGATGTGTGATGTGATTTGTTTACTTTGGACATCAGCAAAAATCGAACATTTCTGCTAGTTTGAGCTCAATTTCAAGATATTGTCAGTACTAAAACCAATCAAAATCATCTCTATTTCTGTAAAATGTCTTCCATTCTATCAAATGAGACCAAGAAACCTTAAATACAACTGTAAAAACCATATGATAATACACAACAAAGTCGCTGTTTTAATCCAAAAGCACGGTCACAGCTTTTTTTCTCGTATACTGTGTGCTGCAAGATTTGTTTTATATAGTGCACACTTACCATGTAGATGCATTTTCTCATATCTAGGTCCAAATTTACTGCTTACAGCTTATCTTAGTGAGCTGAACTCAAGATGTAGTACTATGTCATGGACCCTGGCTTCAGAGCCATAGAACCGTGGGACAGACTCTCTAGGGGTTAAGATGTAGTCTTCTGTTAATGATTTTTATATATGACTGTTGCAAAATTGCAGCATATTTTCAGTCATGACTTCATGAAATTCATCTATGATAGTGCAGCTTTACCCCTTTGACTGTTGAGACCCCAAATCCTGAAGAGTGTCTGTCACAAAATATTCAGAAAAAAAAAAAAAAATCTTATGAAATGATAGAGAATCTTTTCCCAGTGGTAATGACACCAAAAGTACGTAATGTGATGGAAAACATACGGACTTACACACTTGCAAAGTTAGCTATCTCGGCGATGTATACGCATCGGTGATTTCACCCACTTTGAGCCTTATTTTTGGCCAATTCCATTTTTCCAGTCGACCAAACTCATAGCTATTTCTTTAGAACTCCATTTGTTCTATCGCTTGAGTACAGTGGACCCTCGGCTAACGCCTTTAATCCGTTCCAGAGAGCTAGCCGTTAGCCGATTTAGCCTTTAGCCGAATTAATTTTCCCCATAAGAAATAATGGAAATCCAATTAATCCGTTCCAGACACCCAAAAGTATTAAACAAAATATTTTTTTTTACATGAAATATACATTTCCCTACACAGAAAACAATGATACATGCACAGTAAACAATACTGAAATAACACTTACCTTTATTGTGGACTTGTTGATGAGTGATGAGACAGGACATTGTTTTTCTTGAACACACTGGGACATGCAGGGAGTGTAACAGGCATGCAGGGAGGGTAGCTGACATGCAGGGAGTGTAGCAGGCATGCAGGGAGTGTAGCAGGCATACAGGGAGTATAGCAGGCATGCAGGGGGTGTAGCAGGCATGCAGGTAGTGTAGCAGATATGCAGGGAGTGTAGCTACGAGTTTTTTCTTTAATTTTATTGTTTCTTTCCTTCTTTATCACAGCGCTGGCACTAGAAACTTTCTTTGGGCCCATGGTGGATTATTTAGCGGTTACAAGCCCTAAAAACAATGGAATAATACAAAATATATCGCATGTACATGTAGAATCGACCGCAACGGCTTGTAAACAACGGCACACTAGTTGTACTCGGAGTCTTGGAGTGGCCGGGCCTGCTCGGCCGCGCAGACATGTTCTGGACGAAAGCCCTTAGCTGAGTTTTTTGGTGATAGCTGAGCCAATATTTTGATGCCATGGGAGCCGTTAGCCAATTTTTTTCGTTAGCCGATGCAGCTTTTAGTCGAGGGTCCACTTTACAAGAAACCGCCCATTTACCGATTTCAACTACCCAATAAAATGGTCAGAAATGGGCAAATTGGCCAATTTCACACAAATTAAAAAAGATGCCAATTACAAAATAGGGTCCAGAATAAACAATGCAGACATTCCTGGCACTAAAATAACATTTTCTCTGTTCATTAGTCATGTCTCCAGGCCCCACTTATATTACTCTTGCTTTCTATTTTGAATTTTTATTCACTTAAAAAATAGAAGATTTAGTGTTATGCAGACTACTGCATTATTGTAATAATTGTATAAATAATGTCAACCCATTCGTGACTGTTCATTAGACTGCCCAGTTGGACACGTATTTGTTTTCTCTTGAACATTGGCAAAAATTGAACATTTCTGCTAATTTGAGCTCAGTTTTAACCCTTAAACAGTCCAAACGTATATATACGTTCACTCGTGAAACGCCCCGAATATTTTGAATTTTTTTTTTTTTTTCATAGAAAAAAAGAGCACATTTTTTTTTAAGTGTTTTAGAATAAAAAAAAATTTTAGGGTCAGTACTTACCGAGATATGAGGCCACGAAATTGGCCCTTGGTGATCACCTGATGGCAGCATGGAGTGCTGCCGCTTGCAGAAATTCTACATATTTGCCGTTTTCTTCCATTTTTTTTTTTCATTTTCTTGGTTTTTATATGATAATTATGTTTTATAGTAAATCTTTTGATTTCAGTGCCAGTTGTTGTTTATACACCAATATTATGCAGTAGGGCCTCACTTTACGGCATTTTGCTTTACGGCGTTTTGCTTTATGGTCATTTCAAGTTATGACCAAAACTCGCTATACGGCTCCCCCCACCTGACTTTCTAATATGGTCACCGCGCCCCACCCGGTTTGTTTACATTCTCTGTGAGATCCAAGCACTAAGTCTCTCCATTATGACTGGAAACAAAAATATTTCAAGTGTTTTTAAAAGGTACAGTGGACCCCCAGTTAACGATATTTTTTCGTTCCAGAAGTATGTTCATGTGCCAGTACTGACCGAATTTGTTCCCATAAGGAATATTGTGAAGTAGATTAGTCCATTTCAGACCCCCAAACATACACATACAAACGCATTTACGTAAATACACTTACATAATTGGTCGCATTGGGAGGTGATCATTAAGCGGGGGTCCACTGTATTTCATATTTTATATATACTCTGATAATTATACTTATGTATATCTGTACCTAAATAAACTTACATACTGTGCTAGCGTGCAGGTACACATTAAAATCAGTAACAGTTCCTTATGTCTCGAGACGTCATATTAGTAATGATAATAATAAATGAGTCACATTAAATGTCATATATTACGTTAATATACATATTTTCGTTAATCCATCTATGATATTTTTCAAAATTATATAATAAACACGATGCATAACATATAAAGATGATAAATACACCCCACAGTAGAATAAATAAACAAATATGAGATGTGGTAGCAGACGACTTGCAAAAATTACGCCATATTAGAAATAATAATAATAATAATAATAATCACTGAGTCTCATTAAATGTTGTATATTACGTTAATATACACATTTTCATTTATCCATCCATGATATTTTTTTGAAAATTATATAATAAACACGATACATAACATATAAAGATGATAAATACACCCCACAATAGAATAAATAAACATAAACATGAGATGTCGTAGCCAGATAACTTGTACAAGTGACAGCAAGAATAACATTTTCTCTAGTCTAACATAAGAGAAAATGTGTTACTGAGGATAACTGTAGAAAATTATTCCTTTTGTTTGTATGTATGTATGTAAGTTTATTCAGGTATACACAAATACAGTTACATAGATTATCATACAAAACAGCATGTGTTGAGAACCTAGGATAACCCTAAAAAGTCAGACAGAGTGACTTATTTCCATTGCCTTCACTCAGAGTGTCATTTCTTCTAAAAATGGTGTTACATGAGAATGGGAATGTTATTCTTTATTTATTCTACCATATCTATGTAGAGACAACTTGTACACAACATAACTTGTACATAAACCAGACGTGTACACTTTGTTTGTTTACAAAACTTGCCTTCGCCTGGTTTGTTTACATAACTCTGTGCCTGTCCTTCATGTACTCATTCATTCTCTCTCTCATTTATTCGTTTTATCTCGTTTACTCACTCCTGACCCTACATTAAGACTACAAATATTTTAAGGTAAGTAATGAGTGAACTGTATATGCATTTTATTGCTCTGGGATGCTTAAATATCATAGAATATTATGTGTAGGTGGGTTGGCCTGGTATGGTAGCCCGGCTGACTACCATACATGCCACACTTGATTTCTTACAATAAATAGTACTCATCTCACCCTAGATTAAAACTACAAATATTTTAAGGTAAGTAATGAGTAAACTGTATGTGCATTTTATCGCTCTAGGATGCTTAACCCTTTGAGGGTTTCAGCCGTACTAGTACGGCTTACGACCCAGGGTTTTTGACGTACTAGTACGCCTAAATTCTAGTGCCCTCAGATCTGGTGAGAGAAAGCTGGTAGGCCTTTATATGAAAGAATGGGTCTATGTGGTCAGTGTGTGCAGTATAAAAAAAATCCTGCAACACACAGTGCGTAATGGGAAAAAAAAACTTTTACAGTGTTTTTGGAATAAAACAGCGACTTTGCACTGTATTTTCGTATGGTATTTATTGTTGTATTCTACTTTTCTTGGTCTCATTTTATAGAATGGTAGACATATTACAAAAATTGAGGCGATTTTGACTGGTTTTACAATGAAAAGTACCTTGAAATTGAGCGCAAAGTAGCAGAAATGTTCGATTTTTATCAAAGTTCAAAAGTAAACAAATCATGCCAAGCGTCCAGTGCACGTCAACTGGTGAGTCTAATATTCTTTCAAAAGTATGCTGATATTATTTATACCATTTCTACACTAATGCAGAAGTCTGCATAACAGTAAATCTTCTATTTTTTGTAATAATAGAAATTCAAAGTGGAAAGCCAAAGAAATATAAGAGGGGCCTGGGGATGTGACTAACGAACAGAGAACTTGTTATTTTAGTGCCAGGAATGTCTTTCTTGTTTATTCTGGACCCTATTCGGAAATTGGCATCTTTTGAAATTTGTGTGAAATTGGCAAAATTGCTAAATTCTGACCACTTTATTGGATAGTTGAAATTGGTAAATGGGTGGTTTCTTGTACTCATTCGATAGAAAAAAATGGATTTCTAGTGAAATAGTTATGATTTTTGTCGACTAGTACATTGGAATTGGCCAGAAATAGGGCTCAAAGTGGGCAAAATCGCTGATGCGTAAACATCGTCGAGACCGCTAACTTCGCAAGAGCATAATTCCGTAAGTTTTCCATCAAATTTCATACTTTTGGTGTCATTATGATCAGGAAAAGATTCTCTATCTTTTCCTAAGAAAGAATAATTTTTTTTTTTTTTTTGAAATTTGGCCGACCCTGAGAACAAGTTTCGGAGAGGGCCTGTCAACCCTCAAAGGGTTAATGTAATAGAATATTATGTGTAGGTGGGGTGGCCTGGTATGGTAGCCCGGCTGACTGCCCTACATACCACACTTGATTTCTTACGATAAATACTACTCATCTCACCCTAGATTAAGACTATAAATATTTTAAGGTAAGTAATGAGTGCACTGTGTGTGTATTGTAATTTTTATTGCTTTTTTGATGTTTAGTTCTATTGCTAACTTAATATATGTTAGTGTAAACTTGTTATCTAGTACAGTGGACCCCCGCTTAACGATCACCTCCAAATGCGACCAATTATGTAAGTGTATTCCTTATGGGAACAAATTCGGTCAGTACTGGTACCTGAACATACTTCTGGAATGAAAAAAGATCGTTACTCGGGGGTCCACTGTATTTGTATGCATTTATCGGGGGAAAAAAAGGGTGTTCCACTATACGGTGATTTCCACTTTACGACGGTAGCCTGGAACCTAACCTGCCATATATGTGGGGCCCTACTGTATACAAAATTATTTTCTTATTGTCATAAACACACGTGTACACACTGACAGGTGATTTTGCACACCTGGCTGAATCACATTCTATTTTCTACAACTATATACAAGTACAGTGGACCCTCGCCTAACGCTGTTAATCCGTTCCTGAGAGCTCAACGTTAGGCAAAATTATCGTTAGGCGAATTAATTTTCCCCATAAGAAATAATGGAAATCAAATTCATTCATTCCTGACACCCTAAAGTATGAACAAAAAAAAAATTTTTACCACATGAAATATTAATTTTAATACACACAAACTGAAGAAGACATGCACAGTTACATGACACTTACCTTTGGAAATATAAAGACATATGCAGTATAATGTGATCCTTTATTGACTACGTTTCGCCCACACAGTGGGCTTTTTCAAGTCACAAACAGATCTACCTGGGGTGGAAGGGACGCGAGTATTTATAGACTATAAATACTTGTGTCCCTTCCACCCCAGGTAGATCTGTTTGTGACTTGAAAAAGCCCACTGTGTGGGCGAAACGTAGTCAATAAAGGATCACATTATACTGCATATGTCTTTATATTTCCATTGTGTCGGTATTTTATACCATTTATTTCCATCGACACTTACCTTTATTGAAGATCTGGTGATGATTGATGGGATGGGAGGAGGGGAGAGTGTTGATGGTATTAGTGTTTAGAAGGGGAATCCCCTTCCATTAGGACTTGAGGTGGCAAATTCTTTTCCGGGGTTGCTTCCCTTCTTCTTTTAATGCCACTAGGACCAGCTTGAGAGTCACTGGACCTCTGTCGTGCAACATACCTGTCCATAGAGGCCTGTACCTCCCTTTCCTTTATGACATTTCTAAAGTGTTTCACAACATTGTCAGTGTAATAGTCACCAGCACAGCTTGCAATAGCTTTGTGAGGGTGATTTTCATCAAAAAAGGTTTGCACTTTAAGCCACATTGCACAGATTTCCTTAATCTTTGAAGTAGGCAACTTCCTCAATTTCTCTATCCCCTCCTCCGAAGCAGTTTCCTCAGGTGTGACCTCTTGCTGTTGAAGATGATCTAGCAGCTCATCAGTGGTTAGTTCTTCATTGGCCTCCTCCACCAACTCTTCCACATCCTCCCCACTAACCTCCAGCTCCAAGGACTTCCCCAATGCCACAATGGATTTCTCAACTGGCATAGGATTGCCAGGGTTAGCCTCAAGCCCTTCAAAATCCCTTTTGTCTACACATTCTGGCCACAGTTTCTTCCAAGCAGAGTTCAAGATCCTCTTAGTCACTTCCTCCCAAGCCTTACCTATAATGTTTACACAATTGAGGATGCTAAAGTGATCTCTCCAAAACTCTCTTAGAGTCAATTGAGTTTCTGAGGTCACTACAAAGCACCTTTCAAACAGAGCTTTGGTGTACAGTTTCTTGAAGTTAGAAATGACCTGCTGGTCCATGGGCTGCAGGAGAGGAGTGGTATTAGGAGACAAAAAACTTTACCTTAATGAAGCTCATTTCCGCAGAAAGTCGCTCTGCCACGTCTGAAGGATGACCAGAACCATTGTTTAATATCAGGAGGCACTTAAGGTCTAATTTCTTTTCAATTAGGTAATTTTTCACAGTGGGGGAAAATGCATTGAGGACATTGTTTTTCCTGAACACTCTTGAGAGTTTCAGAGTGATACACCAATAAAGGCTTCACTTTGCAATCACCACTAGCATTGGCACACATCAACAGAGTAAGCCTGTCTTTCATAGGCTTAATTATGTCCTGGGAGTGCCTTTTCCTCCTGAGTAATGTAGGTCCTGTTTGGCATTTTCTTCCAAAACAGGCCTGTTTCGTCACAATTAAACACTTGTTCAGGTTTCAGTCCTTCACTGTCTATGTACTCCTTGAATTCCTGCACACATTTTTCAGCCGCTTTGTGGTCCGAACTGGCAGCTTCACCATGCTTTATCATACTATGTATGCCACTACGATTCTTAAATATCTCAAACCAACCTTTGCTGGCCTTAAATTCACTCACATCATCAGTAGTTGCAGGCATTTTTCTAATTAAATCGTCATGCAACTTCCTCTCCTTTTCACATAAGATCGCTTGAGAGATGCTATCTCCTGCTATCTGTTTTTCATTTATCCACACCAATAACAGT